AAACCTACCCATCACACCGAACTTTCTGCATTTTTACATTTGGTCCCCACAATGTAATATAAACATGGACACTCACACACATACACATACACATGCACACACACACACACACACACACACACACTCACACACATAGACATGCACACACGCACTCACTCACACATACTCACACTCTCACACACATACACGTACTCTCACTCTCACACACATACACATGCACACACACACACTACACCACTAGTGTAAAGTGTAGAGACATTTATACTGTCTTAACTGTTTTTTTAGTTTTTTTGCATAGCTGGGTGTCGTGACATCAGCATTCTCTTCTGTTTCCTCCGGTAACAAACAGCTCCTAGACAACAAACCCAAGAACAAATGAGACTGTGGTTTAGCGCACACGATGCAGTTAACACGACTGTTCAAAGGTCTGGGCTCACTAATATCTTTTTTTAAAGAGAAATGGAAACTTTTATTCAGCAAGGATGTGTCAAAGTGATCAAAAGTGACAGTAAAGACATTTATTATGTTACAGAAGTTTCAAATAAATGGTATTTCCACAAAAATACAACTGTTTTTTCAACATTGATATAATAATCATAAATGTTTCTTGAGCATCAAATCATCATATTAGAGTGATTTCTGAAGGATCATGTGACACTGAAGACTGGAGTAATGATGCTGAAAATTCAGCTTTGATCACAGAGATAAATTATATTTTTAACATATATTCACATAGAAAACAACTGTTTTAATTTTAGTTTTAAATTATAATAATATTTCACAATTTCTACTGCATTTTTGATCAAATAAATGCAGCCTTGGTGAGCAGAAGAGACTTCTTACAAAAACATGAAAAAATGTCATCACTTTTGAGCGTGAAACATGCGGTATGGAATGATAAACATTAGACAGTGTCACTAAGATGCATGTTTAACATTATTGGAAATAGTTATTTTCTATTTTTAAGCCAGTTTGGTGTAAAAATACCTTAACTCTAGGCAGTCTGATCAAATAACAAGTGAAGAAGAGGAGTCTGTTTGGAATTGAACACTAATGTACTACTTTACTACATACTGTGTGTTTCAAAAAATAGTATCCGAAACATAAATGTGCTGTTGTCACATGACCTCACTGTTTATCACATGATCTCATAGCGTTGCATGTTAATTAATTCAGCAAGCCAAGTCCACTTATCTCTGAAACAAATATTATTTTGCTTTTTCTTTTGGTCCTTCTTGTGGTTTTGTCAGTTTAATCAGATAACAAGTCATGATAAGAGATAAAAAAAATGTATATAATATTCGCAGTTCTTTTGTCACATGGAAATTCGAGCGCATTGCATTGTGGGAGCTCTTGAAGCTCCGCCCACTGTGCCGGGAGCAGCAGCTCATTTGCATTTAAAGGGCCAGACACAAAACGGTGCATTTTTGCTAACCCTCAAATTTCCACAGTGTGCTCTGGTTGAACGCAGGGTCATCTGGGTACTTCATGCACACAGAAAAATAGCTTATTGTGCATGGAGTTGCTTATTGCACACAGTAAACAGTGAACATCTAGCATGTGTTGAATAGGCTACTAGTATTGCGTTCTGAATTTCAGAGCTGAATCGGGCAGGCACAGACTGACCGTAAGCGTGGTATGGGGTGCATGCAGCATCTGAACGGATCAGGAACACTTCCAGCGAACAGTTGAGTGGAGATTCCTCTCCATTTCAAACACTCATCACACTGAATCCACGTCACATCCCTACGGACAGAAGAAACACGTTAATACAGCAGCTGCTTAGAGCATGTTCTGATGTTCTGAGGAGATATCTCATCAAATGCTGCAGGTTTGTTCATTCGTTGATGTATTTATTAGTTCATTAGTTCAACCATGATTTATTGCGTGTCAAAGGCAGGTGGTGTAGACTTCTGCAGGGAGGACACATCTTTATAGGCCAAAACCCAGAAACAAGATGCATTTGAGCACTTCTGCTTACAGCATCTTGAAGTCAATGGGGTTTTTGTTATGCGCTTTTAGTTTAAAGGGGTGGTGGGTTATGACTTCACTTTTTTAACTTTAGTTAGTGTGTAATGTTGCTGTTTGAGCATAAACAACATCTGCAAAGTTATGACGCTCAAAAGGAGATATTTTCTTTTACAGAAATCTCTTTTTAAGGACTACAACAAACGGCTGGTAGAGACTACACAAGCTTCTTCGTGGGTTAGTGACATCACTAACCCTAAAATTGACATAAACCCCGCCCCCGAGAACGCGATTTATGCGATTTAGACAGAATAGAGAGCCTAAGTCCCTCCCCTTCCGACCTTATTTCGGCGAGAGACAACAAATATTTTTATCTTGTTTGAAATGTGCCCTGAATTACACATATGATGTTTGTCAATTTAAAAGATACATTTTAAAGTCAAGAAAGTCGCAGTTTGATGTAAAACTGTTGAGGGATAAGACTGGGAAAATACGTAATTACAAAGACTACCAAAGGTGAAAACCCCAAAGGTGCACATTTTCTCTCAATGAATGAAGCTAACTTTACTGAAGCTAACTTTACTGAGGCTAATTTTACTGATGCTAACTTTACTGATGTTAACTTTACTGATGCTAATTTTACTGAAGCTAACTTTACTGATGCTAACTTTACTGAAGCTAACTTTACTGAAGCTAACTTTACTGATGTTAACTTTACTGATGCTAATTTTACTAAAGCTAACTTTACTGATGCTAACTTTACTGAAGCTAACTTTACTGAAGTTAACTTTACTGAAGCTAATTTTACTGATGCTAACTTTACTGAAGCTAACTTTACTGATGCTAACTTTACTGATGTTAACTTTACTGATGCTAACTTTACTGAAGCTAACTTTACTGATGCTAACTTTACTGATGTTAACTTTACTGATGTTAACTTTACTGATGCTAACTTTACTGAAGCTAACTTTACTGATGCTAACTTTACTGATGTTAACTTTACTGATGCTAACTTTACTGATGCTAACTTTACTGATGTTAACTTTACTGATGCTAATTTTACTGAAGCTAACTTTACTGAAGCTAACTTTACTGATGTTAACTTTACTGAGGCTAATTTTACTGAAGCTAACTTTACTGAAGCTAACTTTACTGATGCTAACTTTACTGAAGCTAACTTTACTGATGCTAACTTTACTGAAGCTAACTTTACTGAAGCTAACTTTACTGATGCTAACTTTACTGATGTTAACTTTACTGAAGCTAACTTTACTGAAGCTAACTTTACTGAAGCTAACTTTACTGAAGCTAACTTTACTGAAGCTAACTTTACTGATGCTAACTTTACTGATGCTAACTTTACTGATGCTAACTTTACTGAAGCTAACTTTACTGAAGCTAACTTTACTGAAGCTAACGTCTGTCATTGTTTCTATAGTCTTACGTTATAATCGTAACGTTACGCCGTCATCGAGTGTTTTGTACCAGACTGCACACACACACGAGCAGCGGATCTCGCTCGTTGTTTCGCTTCCCGGGAGATGTAGTTCATTGAGGGATTTTCACATAAAACTAAATGTTACTCTTCTGTTTTATGACAAACTGCGACTTTCTTGACTTTCAGAATTATCTTTTAAATTGACAAACATCATATGTGTAATTCAGGGCACAGTTCAGACGGAATAAAAAGATAAGTTGTCTCTCGCCATTGACTGCCATACATATTTTTTCCGAAATAAGGTCCCATGAGCCGGAAGCGGAGGGGAGGGACTTAGGCTCTCTATATGCTAATCAATGACTCGAAGATAACTACACATAAGCTACATAAATTCATCAACAAACCATTCAGAAATGTTGTCACTTCTTCTTGAGTCTCTCCATCTTTGTCCGACTCCGGTTTGAACGTTAAAGGCTTAAAGTTTTTGAAATGTTCAGTGTGAGGTAATCGGAGCTACTACACACACACACACACAAGTCCTTGAAGCTCCGCCCCTTGTGCTGGTAGCAGCAGCTCATTTGCATTTAAAGAGACACACACAGAAACGGTGCGTTTTTGCTCACCCATGTTGAAAAAAGTGACAATTTCAACATGCTATAAAAAATGATCTGTGGAGTATTTTGAGCTAAAACTTCACATAGACACTTAGAGATCATCAGGTAGGACTTATTTCAGAGACTTATTATATAAAAGGCATTATAGGACCCCTTTAAATGGCTTAAATAAGGTCTGTGGTGAACACTAGTGTTTTTGACTTCTGCCGATTGTATTTATACTTCAATATTCATATCAGGATGAACAAAACGTGTAAGAATCATCAACTTTTGTTGATCTCAGATCTTATTTTCTGCACTAATCCAAAAGCCAATGGAAAAATCCTATTGGGCTTCTGCTGTATCAATCCTGCTGTAAAATCCAGCATTGCTGATGTTTTGCATGCTGGAACCAGCAAAGGAAACATTACATTTGATTATTTTGCAATCATTATGGCAATGTTCCTTTTGAATGTTCTGTAGTAACATTTAAAAAAAATAGTTAGATAAATGATAAACCTTGGTGCAAATGTGTGATCAATCATGCGAGTCGCATTGCTTTAGCTGTTGCATGGTTTACTCACAGACATCAGATGTATTGCTGCTATAAACCATGCTAGCGCTTTAGCCGCGTGATTAACAGTTTCTCAGCGCCAACCACCTGCATTTAACAGCTCAACTCGACCTGCCATCACAAGATGCTTTTTTCTGATGCATGTATGTGCAAGGTTTGTGGTCTAACAGACAAATAGTCAGTTTTTAGCAAGCCAAGTTGCACCATCTCTCATTTTTTACCCACAAACCCACGTTTCAGAGAGCCTGGTGCTATTCTGGCCATCTGACTGACAGATGGTTAAACTCTCACCAACAGAGCAAAGCCGGCATGAGAAAACTGTTGTGTGAAAATCTTTGGAGGAAAACAATCATACACTTCTTGTTCTTCCTCCTCTTCCTCTTCATCATCCTCTTCCTCGGTTTCCTCAGTATCACATTCTTTGCTTTTTCTCTCTAAGGCTTGAAACTCTCTCTCTTTTGCTTTCTTTTCCTTCTTTTCACGCCAGTAGTCATTCAGTTTGAGACCAAGAGCAGATAGTGTAAGTCTATGAGAAAAGCAGGAGAAAATGCAGTTAAAATGGAAATATGGATATATTAATATAAAAATGACAATATATATATTAATATAAAATAATATAAAAATGTATATATTAGTGCTGTCAAATAGATTAATCACGATTAATCGCATCTAACATAAAAGTTTTTGTATATGTTTATATACACACCACACATATATGTATATTTATGTGTGTGTGTGTGTGTGTCTGTGTATATATACAAATGTTTACACACCCATTTGATATATTTACACACTTTTGTCAGATGCGATTAATCGATTTGACAGCACTAGTGTATGTTAATAACAATTAATGCACAATTAAACATTTTATATTAAATATATATTTTTTATATTTTTATCTTATTTTTAATATTTTGAAGTTGATCAGAACATATGTTGCACACACACACACACACACACACACACATATATATATAAAAATATATATACAATTAAAAATACTTTATATTAAATATATAACATTTTTTTATATTTTACTTTTAATATTTAAAAGTTGATCACAACATATCTGTTGCATATATATTAGAAATATAAAATGTATATTAATAATAATAAAAAATATATTTATTTTATTTTATTTTAAATATTCCAAAATTGATCACAACATATGTTGCATATTATATATATACAACTTAAAAAATATTTTATATTAAATATAAGATCATTTTTATTTTACTTTTTGAAATTATGTAAAATTGAAATTATATAATGATTATTTTTTTAAATGAAATTATATAAAATTCAAATTTTTTATAAAATAAAAAATAATTAAAACAAAAATGTACAGACATTTCTTTGACATTTCTTTGACATTTCAGTTTTAAGTTCATTTGTCATGTATACAAATGTCAGTCAGTGACAATTTGCACATTGAAATCCTCAGATTGAGGCTCAGGCATTCTAGTAGTGCAATATAAACAATACAACACAATTTAGGGAGAAAAAAATATGCTGTAGATATTTACAGTAAAGTATATCAATATATATAAATGCAAAAAAATATATATGTTTGCTTTGTATATTAAATAATAGGATGTGTAGTAAGTACTTAAACCCATTGTTTTGAATCTGAATCTACTGAGAATGTCAGTCCGGCATTCAAATGAGGATCTATCCGAGCCGGTGTTAAAGTTAATGGTGAGCTGCTGAAATGCACCTGTACTCTTTGGTGTACTCAAAATCCTGCTTGTTATGAGCAGGCTTGAGGAAGTTACACTCAATCACTCCGATGACCCCGACCCCTGACCTTTGACCTGATGACTTAAAGGAGAGAGAGAGAGAGAGGAAGTGATGAGTCAAACACACTAGGCGCGTTTCCATTACAGATTTGCGCAAAACTTTTGCGATTTTTTTTCTAAATGTCGACAAAAAACGATTGCAAAATGACGGCGTTTCCATTAACCGATCGATGTTATGCGATTAAAACATTTTTTCCTCTCGCGATAAGTCATTCCAAAAATCATGGCAACGGACGTTGGTAGGTTTATGTTTATCCCAACCACTGGAATTGCCATTATCATTAAAGGTGCATTGCGCAACATTTCATGTTAAAAATGCCTGTTTTTCTAACCCATACATGTTTAAACAATTGCCTGATGGGCTGAATGAGCCCTTCTCTGATCACTGCGATTGCCTCTATAATCCTGTACAGTAAAATAAATAAGAGGGATTCGGGACGGACTTTGAGACTGGGCGTGACGTCATGCGCGTTCACGCTCCCCTGGCTATGTCTGGCAGGTTTGTGTATTCGCCGCCATTCTCCGTATCAGCAAAGACAACTCGAGCAACAAAACTTTAATCAACTTTCGACAAAAGTAGAAGATGGATTCAAAGAGTTCATGTAGTTCATTCCGAACCCCAACGCAAACTCCACGTAAGACAAAGAAAAGAAAACTTTTGTCTAGTGCCACCAAAAGGTCCAAATTGGAGTCAGACAGGCGTCGGAATAAGCCGAGAGTCAACATCGGGAAGGCTTTCAACAAATGGAGAGATGTCCGGTCTGCTCTTGGTCTCAAACGGGATCCTCAGTTGGCTTTTTTCTTGATAAAACAGTTCATGAACGTGTTTCCATAATAATACAATCATAAGTGGATACAGTAAACACATAAAACAGTTCAACATGGCGATAGATGGAAACAAAAACCGAAGTTTTCTACTACCCCCGTTGTCCCCTCACACATAAGTGTCCTCACACATAAGTGTGTAATTTACTCAAATGCCTTTCCTTTCATATATTTAAAATGACTTGCAGATTTATAACTTTATTACCTCTGAAGACATTATGACTGTAAACAAAAGATTTGTGCGGCTGATGCTCTTTTGGTTATGAACAGCTCGTGCAAGCTGGCGTATGGTCCATGAGCGTGCACACCTCTGGTTGCAGTTTCGCTTGTCGCCAGAGGGGGCGTAGTTCTGCAAAAACTCAGAGACTTGCGCAATGCACCTTTAATCGAAGGAGACGTGTGTGTGTTATCCAATCATTAATGGCAAGGAAAGACCCTTACACTTGAGAGCGGCACATGATGTGTTTCTCCCACATTTCTGCTTCGAGGTCGTGATTGTGGCATTTCTTTGAGGTTTAGAATCCAGTATTCATGTAATTCTTTTGTCTTTTATGAATTTAATAAAGAACTATTATGTCCAAACACACCGCGTCATCTACGTCAGGTGACTGTAAATGCGCAATTTCCATTGCAGTTTTGCGAAATATTTCTTTTTCGAATTGCCTGAAAAACCACCTCATGCAAGTGTAAAAAATGTTTTGCGATAAATGGAAATTTTTGCGAAATTTGTTTCCATTGGGCGTATTTTTAATTCGCTATTACAATTTGCGCAATTTGAAGGGTAATGGAAATGCGGCTAATGATACTTACACCAAATGGCCAGTTATTGTCTTAAAAATCTGTTAAAGGTTTTTTGCACATTTTGTTTTTTGCACAATATCTGGGAAATCTTGAGGAATGGATAATAATAAAACGAAACAGGCATTTTAGCTTTTTTGTGCAGATTAATGAATCCAGTACCTTGATTTGGCAGCCAACTTTCTCATGGGCCTTTATCAGTCTGTTTTTATGGTACATCATAATTCCAAAGTGCTCCTTGTTTTTCAGGTTGAATCCAAAAGTTATTTTCACTCTCTCGTTCTGAGCGGTTGCATTTAAAGGAAACGTACATGTGTAAATGAGCTGGACTGGGGAATGATGGGGAAAAGACATAGAAACCATAACAAATAACCAAATTATTTCCATTTTCGGTTGCTCCACATGACCTGCTTTGGATGTAAACCACAGAAACAGGTTTTGAGGGAAATGTAAGGATACAATGAATTGGGGTTTATAGACGTCGTTCTCAATCATTGACAGACTCTTGGCGACCAGCTTAGTCTGAACTTTCTTCTGTCTCAAGATGATCTGAATCCTGGGCTTCAGGTAAAGTATACTGAGATACGCCTGCAGTGACAGAGAGAGGAATAACAGTGTATTTGTGTTAGTGTTCATGTTTAAAAGGGCTCATATCAAACTGTCCTTGATCTTTTGAGATAAAACACATATTCAAAAGTTCCTCCCTGGTCCAGAAAAAGAGCATTTATAGAAACTAAGCTGCAAAAACGACTCGTTCAGATCTTTCCCACGTTAGATGAATACATTAACCCATGTCCGAAATGATTTAGATAACATTTAGACGTCAGTGATCAGTGAATTACCCAGTGTTAGAAACATGTAAGAGCCATCAACTTTTGTTGCTCACAGAGTTTATTTTCCACTATAATCCAAAAGCAAATGGAAAATCCTCTTGGGTTTTGGTCGAGTGAACCGGGTTGATGCGAACTTATCTGTCGGCCTACAAAAATACATCATCACTGCAGCGCTCTATAAGAAGAAAAGGACTGTAAGCTTATTTCACATGTGAAGACAGTGTTTACATTTGGGGAAAATATTTTGTAACTATTAAAAAATTCTCCGATTTGAAGATTGTAGCTCTGGCTTTCATATCATTATCTCCTGCAACACAAAGTTAAAGTCTCAACTTTCACGAGTTGACACTGTCACACTGTATTAACGTCTTCTCAGCTCCACCTAAAGTTCACACACACACACACACACACACACACACACATTTGCATTCACACTGTAAAACAACCACAGGCCATAAATATCAGGAAGTTTCTCGCTCTGTTGGCATTCTCTCTCTCTCTCTCGTTCTCTCTCTCTCTCTCTCTCTCTCTCTCTCGTTCTCTCTCTCTCTCTCTCGCTCTCTTGTTCTCTCTCGCTCTCTTGTTCTCTCTCGCTCTCTCTCGTTCTCTCTCTCTCGCTCTCTCTCTCTCTCTCTCGCTCTCTTGTTCTCTCTCGCTCTCTCTCTCGTTCTCTCTCTCTCGCTCTCTCTCTCTCTCTCTCTCTCTCTCTCTCTCTCTCTCTCTCTCTCTCGCTCTCTCTTTCTCTCTCTCTCGCTCTCTCTCTCTCTCTCTCGCTCTCTTGTTCTCTCTCGCTCTCTCGCTCTCTTGTTCTCTCTCGCTCTCTTGTTCTCTCTCGCTCTCTCTCTCGTTCTCTCTCTCTCGCTCTCTCTCTCTCTCTCTCTCTCTCTCTCTCTCTCTCGCTCTCTCTCTCTCGCTCTCTCTTTCGCTCTCTCTTTCGCTCTCTCTCTCTCTCTCTCTCTCTCTCGCTCTCTTGTTCTCTCTCGCTCTCTCTCTCATTCTCTCTCTCTCGCTCTCTCTCTCTCTCTCTCTCTCTCTCTCTCTCTCTCGCTCTCTCTTTCTCTCTCTCTCGCTCTCTCTCGCTCTCTCTCTCTCGCTCTCTCGTTCTCTCACTCACTCTGAGAGAAAACTCCATCTCAGGAGCGTTGTCGCTGTCTCTGCGCTGCCTGTAATCTCTCCTCCATTTTCCCTGCATCTCCTCCGTTCGGATCTCCGGCAGACGGATGTCCTCCACATCGGTGTCAAAGTCAAACTCTGGATTTCCATCTTTATTTCTGTGGTACAAAATGGTAAAGGTTACATTTCCAGATTAGACTTCCATCATGCCAATCCTCAATTGCTAATTTCAAAACGTCATTTAAGAGCTAGTAATGAAGGCTTTCGCCATTTATAGCAGAGTAATGCAGTTATTAGAGAGAGAGAGAGAGATTAAGTGTGTGTGAATTACCAGAGTATGTGCGTCTCTGAACAGTGTTTCTACTAATAGTGAAACTGTAAGTTGATCTGCTTCAAGAACAGCGCTGTTATTTCCTCGCTAGAGAAAAGTCATGTAGCTTTTAAGTTGCTAAACTATTTTTCTATTTACTATATTTCTGTGTGAGTGTGTGTCCGTACTGTATGTGTGTGTGTGTGTGTTTGAGCGGGAGAGAGTATGTGCTTTCTGTACATAATAAAATGTAATTTTGTAGCAAAAAACATGGAAATAAATAGTTGTTTTTATCCTATTGTTTACTATATTTATTTGATTGGTCAGTGTCGTTGTGGGTTTTGTATCCTTTGCTGTTCTCGGCTGTAAAGACCTTGAAGAAACAGAAGTCATTTGGCGGAGTGATATGAAACTGTAATGTGGTCAAGACTTGCTGGAACTACTTTAGCCGTGAGTTTCGCTGAAAATAACTGCACACCTTTCATCAACCAATCAGATTCAAGCATTCAGCAGCCCTGTAGTATTACTTTGGTTTGACATTTAGAAAACATTCAAAAAAGAGAAGTGCATTTTCTCTATAAAGCAAAGTTTTATCCAAACCGACTTAAATTTACATTGCATTCAAGGTCATGGTTTATCACACCTTCTCATTTTATCAGTATCAGATAAAACATACTTGCATGTTTGTATTTTAATCTAGCAAGGAAGGTGTCTAATGAACATTGGTACTTACTAATTAGTCTTCTATGCATGTCTCCGCTTGCTTTCCAATCTAGTTTTCTGATAAACCTGGCATTATTTTTTAACAAATAGCATACTGATTGCTTAAATATGCTATTTGTTAGAGTTGAGAGAATTGCATGCTTTTGGGGTGTTTAAAATAACTAGATTTGTTAAACTAAGCAGTTAGGGTTATATTCAAAACACACACAAATCAGGAGTGTGTTGTTCCGGCGGAGTCAGTGCACTCCCCTGTGCGCAACATTTAAATCACATGCAAATGAATCACGAGACATAATGGTTCTTCTGTCTACATTTGCTCGGTGACGTCGTCTTCATCTTGCACTTAGAAAAGTACACTGTGCCACAGACCTGCGGATGTTCCAGATGAGTATCTTGGTTCCTTTCTTTCCCTGTATGGAGTCCAGCTGCTCTTGTAGCTCAGACTCGCTCTGGAAGAGAGAATATTTCAGGATGGCTCTCAGACTGGCCTCCGAATCCTCCGTCACCACCAGCGTCTGTGAGATGGTGGTTAAGGGCCACGCTTTGACGGACATGAGCATCCGCTAACAGTCTATATGGTTAGAGTGCAAAACATGCGAAATAAATTTTTTTCTTTAGAATTGCATCCAGAAAAATGTTTAACTAGTGTAATCTTGGGCTGGGTGTTTGTGCTGAACAGAAGGATATTGGTCTGTTGGTTGAAGGGGGCGATGGGTACGATCACGGCCTGAGCTTTAATAGCCTGTAAGAAGCTTTGAGACAGCAAGCCTACGCTCTGACAGCCTCCGTTCTTCGTGAAGATCAGAGCGTCTCGGCCCAGACGCATCGAGCCCGATTTAAATCCGTTTCCGTACACACCGATGGGCTGATGGCTGCTTTTACTAGAGCCTTTCTCTGTGAACCCAAAACTGCAAAGAGAAAGAAAGATTCACCTTCGCCACCCTTAGAAATGCTTTCAGAATGAACTCTCTCAACAAGATTTAAGGCGTCATTGGTGTGTATGTGTTTTCACGCACCTGAGCATTTTGTGCAGTTTGTTGGGCGTCATACCACTGCCATTGTCCATGAAACTGAGGCACAGCTGTTCTCTGAGCGTCACAACATCTATCCAGATGTTCTTGGCTGTGACGCCCGGGTCAGATGCATTATCTACGACGAGAATTTCGATTTTTCAAATGATTTGAGAAAAAAAACATGCGGTTGCATTATTGACATGCTCGTGGTTTGCCTTACTTTTTTTCATTGATAATGCAATTTGACATGAAAATCATTTTCCTTTTTTTCCCTCTTAAACTGCAAGCGGTTGCAGAAAATGCAGAACTCTAAATATAACCTATAGCCTACAAACTAAAACCAGACACACAGACGTTTAACAGGATGTAGAGGGGAAACTGCAAGTATTAAGACGGATTTTGTTAAACCTCATATCTTGATTATTAAGTGATGAAAGATAAGCACATTTCGAAGATATTTCACCATCATCTCCATGTTATGAACGCCAGTTTCCTGTCTCTAACGGTACTGAGATCCGATCCTGAAAGTGTCACGTATTTCCATCAGCCTTTACCATAAACCATCTATCTTTCATAGCAGAGTAACCACAGGTGTAGTTCATCACATTAACTGTCAACATGTTCCACAACACAAAGTGACACGCTACTTTGTCTTCATTTTCAACACTACATCTATTTAGCTTGTAAAGTGTGCTTGAGCATCTCTCTTTGCATTATTGCAACTTGCTTTAATATTTATGCATTTGACATTTATGCTAACAGGATTACATTTATATAAGTTGAAGCATTCGCTGTGACACGAACCGATGATCTTAGTTTTGCTTGCACTAGAAATGATTTTGACATCAAGTTAGTGCAATGACACTCAGATATGTTTACGTGTTCAGATCCACGCAATACATTTGATACTAAGATTTAAAATGCATCGTGTTTTGCGTTTTAACATCACTCCATTAATTATGATTAAAGCGTTATCTGCAAGGTAGTTTGCGCGCAACAGGTGCGCATTATCGTCTATGAGATTTCGCGGAAGTTTAAAGCGAAAGCATGAGGTTCCTGACTGACACACGAGTTTATCCTGCGAACACATTAATGCATGAGTGTTTCGCTCACCGATGAGTTCCGCGACCGCACTGAAGGGCCATGTGTGACTGGTGGAGTTGCTCTCCAGGTACGACGGGCTCATCTATAAAAACAACATTACGCAATATAATACATACAAGTAAAGTATATGGTAGTGCGTGAGAAAGACTTTACTTTAGAGAAGATAAGAAAGATACACACAGAGCTCAGCCGGATCCCGTGTTCGCTCAGTCTCGCCATCATGAGGGTGAAAACACACGTCAGATGAGAAGAAGAGATGCAGATGGTTCATTCTTCCTCCGTGCAGCACGAGCGCTTCCTCCTCCAGTGTGTGTGTGTGTGTGTGTGTGTGTGTGAGTGTGTGACGTGACACTCCCATCCAGAGGCGCACAGAGCACAGCTTTACAGTTTTTTTTCTTTTGAGTGCTGTCTCCTAGACCCATATATCTTTATAAACAAAGGACATGCACTTTTTTTTCTTCACATTTTATTAATGTTTTGTAATTATATTTTAATCTTATATTTGAATGTATATACAAATGTGATTTATTTTTGTAATAACCAAACAGTATTTAATATACAAAAATACAATATTTTTTTAATAAAATGTATAATAAATACAAATGTGATACTAATATGCATGTGTTTGTGTATTATCATACTAATATATATATATATATATATATATATATATATATGTGTGTGTGTGTGTGTGTGTGTGTGTGTATATATATATGTACGTGTACACACACACACACACATAATATATTTATATATATATATATATATATATATATATATATGTGTGTGTAGGTAGGATAATATATATATATATAAGTATATGTACATATAATATACATATATGTATATATATAGATAGGTAGGTATATATATATATACATATGTGTGTGTGTGTATGCATATATATGTATGTATCACATTTGCTTTTATATGAAAGGGCCATTCTTCTACTGTCACACACATACATTCCCCTTTCACATACATTTCTACCCACACACAGACACACACACACACACACACACTTACATTCTCCTTTCTACTTATATCATTTTCTATGCATTCACAGCCTACATTTTGTACTCACACCTTTTTTTTACGCACACATTTATACATTTTACCTTTTTTTTTTGTTCTCACTTTGTGTGTTTATCTGCAGCTCATAATAAGGTCTGAAGCTCATTGTGTGTTAAAACATCTTATAGACTTTCACTGCACATGGCATTTTGAGGATTTTATCAAACACTTTAAAAGCACAAGCATATAAATTCAAATCAACAAAGAAAAAGAGTAAAGGAAAGTGGTATTTTATTCACTTATGCTGCATAAGAGTATGTTGGTCTTGCAACACTTTTGTGCAATTCACAGAATTAACACTGAGTTTAATCTGAAAAATAGTGATTCTGATTTGATCATTAGTTGGATTCCTCCTCTCTCTCATTCTTTGGTGGCATAGAAAAGCCCCCAGCGTTGGTCTCCTGTCTCACAGCGCAGCAGTTTCTCTGTCCATCCCTTTACAATGGCATCATAGTCGTCCTTAGAGAACTCCTGTGGAGGAGACAGTGATTATCAGCATGCGTGCATGACATTCCCAACAATATTCAGACAAACTGGCTAAACTCGTTTTTAAAGGGGTCATATAATGCCATTTTCATACAAGTTAATTTGATTCTTTAGGGTCTAAATGAAAAGTTTGTAATATACTTTAATTAAAAATTCTAATTAGTATTGTAAGAAAACACTAATTTTACCTGGTCAAAAACAGCTCTGTTTTCAGCACGCCATTTAACTGCATGTGTCTTTAAATGATAATGAGCTTTGTTGACTCCGCCCCTCTGTTCTGTGGGGCGTTTTGACACAACGCACGTGGAGTGTTTCCTTGACAACAGTTGAGGGTATATTTTGGAGAGAGAATGGCAGCGGGAGTCTCTGAGGACACATCTGTGCAACCGTATCAGTTTGTACTGGAGTCGGACCCGGAACAAGATGACGGCCGCAAAGAAGTTCGACAATTAAGGCTCGAACAGGACGTTTCTGAATGATTGGTTAACATAATGTCACTTTGATCTATCTTTGTATGTACTGGCAGGGTAGAGTGAGATACGAACGCTATGTGTTTACTGATGTATACGTACACAATTTGTAATAACACAAGAACCATAACGCGTTGTTCATTATAAACGTGGGATTATGAATTGTATTGAGAAAACATAGAAACATAGAAAACGTCGTAGATAGAAAACATGCCGTAATGTACCCTGAGTGTAAACCTTAGCCACATTCATCGTGAAGCGTGCAAGCGATTTGCAAAGATTAATACAATTTTACACTCACTTCTTCTGGAGGTGCAGGAGGGACATGAATAGTTACCGATTCCTTTTTCAAAACCAGCTTTATACTGACCCTCGTTTATAAAGCAGTCTGGTGAGAAATGATTCGCTCAAACATGAGAGCATTGACGTCGCTCGTGGGGAATATTCTCTTCGAAAACAAAACTCAGCCACTGCGTCTTCAGCGGTTCGGGTTTAGGAACATCAAAATGACTGTGTTCGTTATTACACCCAAGAACAGAACACCACAATCGCTTAGACGCCATTCTGCTCCAGCGTATCAACAATGACGGACTATGATGACAGCTCGCTCAGGGCGGGTCTGTGTTGAAACGCTGCTGTCAATCAACAATTGTGGGCGGGGCGTCCGATTCAGTGACGTCACACGGTCGAACGGCTCGATTTGAGGCAGGGGAAAACATATAGAGAGCCTAAGTCCCTCCCCTTCCGGTCGACCACCATGGGACCTTATTTCGGAAAAATATTGTATGGTAGTCAATGGCGAGAGACAACAAATATTTTGATCTCGTTTGAATTGTGCCCTCAATTACACATATGATGTTTGCCAATTTTAAAGATACATTTTAAAGTCAAGAAAGTCTTGAGATATAAGACGTAAAAATACATAATACAAAGACTACAAACCCCAAAGGTGCACATCACATTCAGGTGCACATTCTCTCAATGAATGAAGCTAACTTTACTGAAGCTAACTTTACTGAAGCTAACTTTACTGAAGCTAACTTTACTGATGCTAACTTTACTGAAGCTAACTTTACTGAAGCTAACTTTACTGAAGCTAACTTTACTGAAGCTAACTTTACTGATGCTAACTTTACTGAAGCTAATTTTACTGATGCTAACTTTACTGAAGCTAACTTTACTGATGCTAACTTTACTGAAGCTAACTTTACTGAAGCTAACTTTACTGAAGCTAACTTTACTGAAGCTAACTTTACTGAAGCTAACGTCTGTCATTGTTTCTATAGTCTTACGTTATAATCGTAACGTTACGCCGTCATCGAGTGTTTTGTACCAGACTGCACACACACGAGCAGCGGATCTCGCTCGTTGTTTCGCTTCCCTGGAGATGTAGTTCATCGAGCGATTTTCACATAAAACTAAATGTTACTCTTCTGTTTTATGACAAACTGAGACTTTCTTGACTTTCAGAATTATCTTTTAAATTGACAAACATCATATGTGTAATTCAGGGCACAGTTCAGACGGAATAAAAAGAGAAGTTGTCTCTCGCCATTGACTGACTGATTTTTTCCGAAATAAGGTCCCATGAGCCGGAAGCGGAGGGGAGGGACTTAGGCTCTCTATAAGGAGATTAAAACAAAAACACTGGATGGATTTTTATCATTATATGATGGTTGTGTACAGGCACTGCCAACACACATTTCAGTACAATCAACTTGAAAAAGTGCATGACCCCTTTAATGACTGTATTTTTTTTTATTTACAGTCATTAAAAATGAGTGAAATAAAAGGGAAAAGGGGAAATAAAATATTTCCTCCAACAGTGTGAATGCAAATGTGAGGTTGTAAATGTAATGCAGATTTTGCATGAGCATAAAAGTGTGTGTGTGTATGTGTGTGTTTGTTTACCTGTATAAACTCATCTTTCATGTCCTCGGCTCTCTGCAGTTCAGTCTTTATCACCTGAATAAATTGGTCTGTCCTGTCCTCTGCGCGAACATTACTGAATCCCACCTCGCTCAGGAACTGAAAAACACACAAATACACTCAATATTATCATAGTCATCATGGTGCATAAACAAGCTTTGGATAAAGGTGTCTGCTAAATGACTGAATGTAAATGTTCACCATGGGAAGCGGACACGTTATTAAAGGGATACTCCACCGTTTTTTCGTGTATAAAGTATGGCGGAATAGCACTTGGGAGCACTTCGACTCGGCGCAGTAATATCATCATATCATCAATGAGAGGGAGGGGAGAGGGCTTTTCAGGAGTGATGATATTACTGCGCCGAGTCGAAGTGCTCCCAAGCACTTGCTATGGTATTCCGCCATACATTATAGTTATCCATTTTACACGCTTAGAAAAGCGCCACGTTTTATTTTGTGTCACCATACTTGGTCTTGTAACTACTCGTGTAACTGTATTTAAATAGGGAAACCGTGGAGGTGTTTGGTCGCTTCTCTGTTTGGATCCTAATGAATGAACTGGGCTAAGCTAAGTGCTAACAAAGTTTCGCCGCAAGACAGAGCGATTTAGTGAACGCACTGAGACGAGAGAGGTATGTATCAACTCGTCTTAGTTAAGGGAATAACATAGTTTAATATGAAAAAACAGTGGAGTATCCCTTTAAGGACGCTATAAACAGCAGTCTCTATCATGCCTCATGAGGCCGGTAGAGGGAGGTTTACGTGCACAGCTCTAGCTTGCCTCCATTACTCTCATCGACCTAAACCTCACTCCCATGCAGGTCATGGCACCAAATATAACCCGTCCAGTTCAACTCGACCCGCTCCGTCATGAGAGGCAGGCACGCTAACAATGGGCTAGTGCGCTTCTTGAGGTCAAGCTTTTACTACAGTAGCTTGCCTTCATTACATCCAGGACTAACAGATATCATCAATGTTACATAATAAATCAATACTAATTCCAAACAAAAGCAAGCTGTAATAGTACACTATGATTTTATTAGGTCTGTACTTGTGTATCCCGTGTCCCACCTGTCCGTATCTCTGAGGTGTGTAGAGAATATATCCCCTCTGGTTGACGTAATCCTGAAACGCTGGAGACCAGGGCTTCTCTCCACAGCAATAGTCACTGATCAGCAGCTTACCGCTCGGCTTCAGCCATGACTGAAAAACACATGCATACACACACCTTAAAGCAATATTTCAATCTGTTATTATGGACTCCTATGAAAATACATGGTTTGTCCATTAGAGGGCAGACCATGCACATGCAGTTTGCCTTTACTCTTATTTTGCATGTCAGCTTCCCATATTGCATTTGACATTTTAGATACTATGCACTATAGATCAATACAAACACAAAGGCTTGTTTTTATTACCCATAAGTAATATGTCATCTCATTTGAGTCCTCTCAAGGAGGTTCAAGGTGATGTTTACTGTTTAAACCACAAACACTGAACACCTACACACACATATTCACCGGAACACACACACTAACACACAAACATACACGCGCACGCACACACACACAAAAACACACACACACACACACAAACACACACACACACTCACACCTGCTACCGACTGACAGTACATTTACACATGCAGATGATCATTTGCATGTCCTCATACATACACACATGCACACACACAAATATATGGTACTTCTATATAATATAAAGTCAAAGGCATGAAAACATGCACCCAAGCACCTGTTTACCTGTGTGAACACTCACGTAAAATTTTCTGAAGAGGTCAAGTTTGTCCCTGATGTGCAGAATCGTGTCTCTGCTGTAAACCACATCAAACGTGGCGTCAGGAAACCTTCTTTTTGTGGCATCCGACACCTCAAACTGCACCTGCAGAGGAAGGACGAAGTTAATCTGCTATCAGGAAGTGCAGAACGACAGCCAAAGCTGTCCCAGAATGCAGCTCTGTTCATTCTCAAAGCTAGACGTAGTTCAAATTGATTAAAAACATTTTTTCCACATTTCCTGTGGAAAAACTCGCTGGCATAGTTCTAAGGTGTTGCTATGCAGTTACTAAGCTGTTCTGAGTAGTTTGATAGGCTTGCTGTGGTTGCTATGATTTTCTGGGTGGTTGCCAGTGTGTTGTATTGCAGTTGCTAGATTGTTATAAGTGGTTGCTATGGTGTTATGGGTGGTTTCCAGGGGGTTGGTAGGTTGTTATAGGTGGTTGTTATGGTGTGATGGGTGGTTTCCAGGGTGTTACTAGTTTGTTGCACTTTGCTATGTAGTTACTAGGATACTCTGGGTGGTTGCTAGGGTGTTGCTAGGTTGTTACAGCTGATTGCGGGTGTTGTGAGTGGTTGCCAGGGTGCAGTTGCAAAGCTGTTCTGAGTAATTTGTTGCCTTTGCTATGCAGTTACTAAGGTGTCCACGTGGTTATCTTGCTATGCAGTTGCTGAGCTGTTTTGAGTAGTGTGTGTGATTTGCTACAAGGTTGCTAGGGTGATCTGAGTGGTTGCCAGAGTGTTGCTATGCAGTTAAGAAGCTGTTTTGAGTAAGTTTTTTTATTGCCTTAGCTATGTGGTTGCTAGGGTGTTGTGGGTGGTTGCCAGAGTGTCGCTATGCAGTTGTGAAGCTGTTCTTGGTAGTTTTTTGCCTTAGCTAAGTGGTTGCTAGGGTGTTATGGGCAGTTGCCAGAGTGTTGATATGTATTGGGTAAAAAACTCAACTTACTAATGGGAGTTTCTCTGTGACGGCTCTCTCCATGGCGATCTCCACCATGTTTGAGGAAAGGTCCATCCCCAGAACCTCCACTCCAAAGGTCTGTCATTAAAACGGATAGTCAGTAATTAATCGTGTCACGGTAATCAGAAACAGCAGCTGTGAATGATCATGTGCAAGTAGTCAGATTGTAACACCTGTTAAAATATACTGTAGATTAAACTGAATTTTTGTTTGATAACATTCACGTTTCTAAAAAGTTTCAAGGTCCCAAGGAAAGTGGACTTAAAGAGCGTGAAACACGTTCTGTGGCAACACATAAACCCATCATATGTCAACCTTTGGCTCACCTTGGCCATGTAGAAATCTCCACCTCCAATCCCACAGCCGACATCTAGAACCTTCTGTTCTGCGGCCAAGTTCAGCATATCAACAAACTCCTGATGGGTTACAGATTAATATGTCAAAGAGATCAACAGAAAACAAACCGTTAATTATTCACTAAATGATGAGATAACACAGATGATGCAGAGAGCAGTAGTTCTCCACTGATATCCAAAGAAAAAGTTAGGTTGGTATCACTGATCTAGAGTGGATATGAAAGTTTCAGTTACTCTTTCCGAAAATGATATAGTTGCTCCAGTAGGTGGCGACAAGTATTGTATGTGATTCATTCAGGAACGAAACAAGTGGCCGTTTTAAAGACCAAATCATTGAATCATTCATTTATCCGCAATTCGTTAAAAAACACAAATTCATTTAGAAAGGAAACCAGCGGCTGTCTTAATTATTCTTTGAATCATTCATTCAACCGAGTAGTTCAAAAGAAAGATTCATTCAGGCGGTTGGCTGCGTCCGAAATCATATACTCTCTTGAGTAAGTACTTATTTTGAATAGGTTATCACTTCACGACCGCTAAAAAAAGTATGTTCTGTATGGTCTAAGTGTGTGTAGTATGAATGTAATCTGGACATACTACATTCGCCATGATTCATTATCATGTGACCTACCAGCGTCAATTACGTCGCTTCACTGCCGAAAGTTACATAGTTGCTCCAGTAGGTGGCGACAAATCAACGTACTGAATGTGAATCAATTATTGATTCATGTGTGTGTTGTATGAATGTAATCGCATTGTTGTTCTTATCATGTGACCTCAGTTGCGTCGATTTTCATTCCCAAAGTTACACAGTTGCTCCAGTAGGTGGTGATGACGAGTGACTGTATTGTGCGTGAGTCAATTACTACAAGTTTTCTCCCGTGGCCTCATGGGATAGTAAAGTGTCCATCGCATGCACACTTCAGTATCTGTGGAAGTAGTGGGTCATCCGGGGACTTTTTACCTACTCTTTTATGAGTACTATTATGTGAACTCTTAATACGCATGTGCACGCCATCAGCATTCTCACAGGTTCGCGTTTTTAAAGTTTGCGTAGAGGGAACTTAAGAGTTTTCTGTTAGAATGGTGTCGTGTTAGCGGCCCCTAAGTTAATAACTAATGATCGTTGCGACGGAAGTGAATCAATCAAAACTAACTTTAGCTGGACAATAACTTTATTCTAGCTAGAGCTGCCATAAAGCCAAAACAATCTCTGATACTGTAATCTCCTAGTATCAATGTAAAGACGCTTTGGAACAATCTACATTGTTAAAAGCGCTATATAAATAAAGATGACTTGACTTGACTACTATTTGTCATGATTCTGCCATCATGCTCTTGATTTTCCTAGTCTTGTGGCAGGATCAGGGCAGAACCATGTTTTGTGTACAAGCGCATGGCCTGTTGTTTGGGCCATGTGCTTGTGTTGTCTCGTTACGTAACCTCGCCCCCTTGTTATCCTCGTCTTGTCATTATTGTCTAGTCAGTTTCACCTGTTCGTGTCATTAGTGTCTCCCTATATTATCCCCTTGTGTTTGCTGTCCTTGGTCAGTTCATTGTCAAAACTGTGTCAAGATCTTTGTCAAACTTTCTGTGAATCTTGTCTATCGTATCAAGCTGTCTTGTTTTGTAAAGGTGTTTTATTAGTTTAACCTGTCTTGTATTGCCCCATCGTGGGTTTTGTTTTCTGTTTTGTCATCAATAACCCCCATTTTGAGTAATTTGCTGTCTGCGTTTGGGTTCGTTCCTCCAACTACATGACAGAATGAACCGACCAAAGAAGAACCCAGCAGACTGTATGTCTTTCCCCGCTAGACCACAACAGACTGACCAAGAACCGAGCCTGTCACTGTGAGCGCTGCACCCGAGCCTGTCACTGTGAGCGCTGCACCCGAGCCTGTCACTGTGAGCGCTGCACCCGAGCCTGTCACTGTGAGCGCTGCACCCGAGCCTGTGACTGTGAGCGCAGCACCCGAGCCTGTCACTGTGAGCGCAGCACCCGAGCCTGTCACTGTGAGCGCTGCACCCGAGCCTGTCACTGTGAGCGCTGCACCCGAGCCTGTCACTGTGAGCGCTGCACCCGAGCCTGTCACTGTGAGCGCTGCACCCGAGCCTGTCACTGTGAGCGCTGCACCCGAGCCTGTCACTGTGAGCGCTGCACCCGAGCCTGTCACTGTGAGCGCTGCACCCGAGCCTGTGACTGTGAGCGCTGCACCCGAGCCTGTGACTGTGAGCGCTGCACCCGAGCCTGTCTCTGTGAGCGCTGCACCCGAGCCTGTGACTGTGAGCGCTGCACCCGAGCCTGTCTCTGTGAGCGCAGCACCCGAGCCTGTCACTGTGAGCGCTGCACCCGAGCCTGTCACTGTGAGCGCAGCACCCGAGCCTGTCACTGTGAGCGCAGCACCCGAGCCTGTCACTGTGAGCGCAGCACCCGAGCCTGTCACTGTGAGCGCTGCACCCGAGCCTGTCACTGTGAGCGCAGCACCCGAGCCTGTCACTGTGAGCGCTGCACCCGAGCCTGTCACTGTGAGCGCAGCACCCGAGCCTGTCACTGTGAGCGCAGCACCCGAGCCTGTCACTGTGAGCGCAGCACCCGAGCCTGTCACTGTGAGCGCAGCACCCGAGCCTGTCACTGTGAGCGCTGCACCCGAGCCTGTCACTGTGAGCGCAGCACCCGAGCCTGTCACTGTGAGCGCTTCCCCCCGAGCCTGTCTCTGTGAGCGCTGCACCCGAGCCTGTCACTGTGAGCGCAGCACCCGAGCCTGTCTCTGTGAGCGCTGCACCCGAGCCTGTCACTGTGAGCGCAGCACCCGAGCCTGTGACTGTGAGCGCTGCACCCGAGCCTGTCACTGTGAGCGCTGCACCCGAGCCTGTCACTGTGAGCGCTGCACCCGAGCCTGTCACTGTGAGCGCTGCACCCGAGCCTGTCACTGTGAGTGCAGCACCCGAGCCTGTGACTGTGAGCGCAGCACCCGAGGCTGTGACTGTGAGCGCTGCACCCGAGCCTGTGACTGTGAGCGCTGCACCCGAGCCTGTCACTGTGAGCGCTGCACCCGAGCCTGTCACTGTGAGCGCTGCACCCGAGCCTGTCTCTGTGAGCGCTGCACCCGAGCCTGTGACTGTGAGCGCTGCACCCGAGCCTGTCACTGTGAGCGCTGCACCCGAGCCTGTCACTGTGAGCGCAGCACCCGAGCCTGTCACTGTGAGCGCTGCACCCGAGCCTGTCACTGTGAGCGCTGCACCCGAGCCTGTCACTGTGAGCGCAGCACCCGAGCCTGTCTCTGTGAGCGCAGCACCCGAGCCTGTCACTGTGAGCGCAGCACCCGAGCCTGTCACTCTGAGCGCAGCACCCGAGCCTGTCACTGTGAGCGCAGCACCCGAGCCTGTCACTGTGAGCGCAGCACCCGAGCCTGTCACTGTGAGCGCTGCACCCGAGCCTGTCACTGTGAGCGCTGCACCCGAGCCTGTCTCTGTGAGCGCAGCACCCGAGCCTGTCACTGTGAGCGCAGCACCCGAGCCTGTCACTGTGAGCGCTGCACCCGAGCCTGTCACTGTGAGCGCTGCACCCGAGCCTGTGACTGTGAGCGCTGCACCCGAGCCTGTCACTGTGAGCGCTGCACCCGAGCCTGTCACTGTGAGCGCTGCACCCGAGCCTGTCTCTGTGAGCGCAGCACCCGAGCCTGTCTCTGTGAGCGCTGCACCCGAGCCTGTCACTGTGAGCGCTGCACCCGAGCCTGTCTCTGTGAGTGCTGCACCCGAGCCTGTCTCTGTGAGCGCAGCACCCGAGCCTGTCTCTGTGAGCGCAGCACCCGAGCCTGTCTCTGTGAGTGCTGCACCCGAGCCTGTCTCTGTGAGCGCTGCACCCGAGCCTGTCTCTGTGAGTGCTGCACCCGAGCCTGTCACTGTGAGCGCTGCACCCGAGCCTGTCACTGTGAGCGCAGCACCCGAGCCTGTCTCTGTGAGTGCTGCACCCGAGCCTGTCACTGTGAGCGCTGCACCCGAGCCTGTCACTGTGAGCGCAGCACCCGAGCCTGTCACTGTGAGCGCAGCACCCGAGCCTGTCACTGTGAGCGCAGCACCCGAGCCTGTCACTGTGAGCGCAGCACCCACGCCTGTCACTGTGAGCGCAGCACCCGAGCCTGTCACTGTGAGCGCAGCACCCGAGCCTGTCACTGTGAGCGCTGCACCCGAGCCTGTCACTGTGAGCGCAGCACCCGAGCCTGTCACTGTGAGCGCAGCACCCGAGCCTGTCTCTGTGAGCGCAGCACCCGAGCCTGTCTCTGTGAGCGCAGCACCCACGCCTGTCACTGTGAGCGCAGCACCCACGCCTGTCTCTGTGAGCGCAGCACCCGAGCCTGTCACTGTGAGCGCAGCACCCACGCCTGTCTCTGTGAGCGCAGCACCCGAGCCTGTCACTGTGAGCGCAGCACCCGAGCCTGTCACTGTGCGCGGCACCCACGAGTCTGCAACATTCAATGCCTCTCCAGAGTCTGAGGTGATGAGTGACGCTTCTTGGGGAAGCTTTGACTCCAGTACAGCCTCTAAGAACTCTGTTCCCATTCCCGCTTCCTTTACGCCTGTCAATCCCCTTGTCTCCGTTTCGTTGCCTGCTGCTGTCCCCACTGTTCCCGGACTTCCATTTGTTTCCCCTGTCTCCCCTGTCATGGCTCAACCCCGGACTGTTTCCCCTATCGCCCCTGTCTTCGCAAAACCCCAGACTTTTTCTTCACCTCGTGTGTCTTCGTCCAAGCCTGCCCGGATTCCTTGTCCCCAGCCCTTGTCCCGTGGACCTAAGACCCCCAGCACTCCTATCCACCCTGGACCACCCCCCATGAACTCTGTTTTTCCTCCTCCTCCCCTGCCTTGTATTTTGTTTTTGATGTTTCACCCGAACCCTGTTATAGTTTATTCATGTATACCGTTGTTGATGTTCGCTATGTTTTGTTGGTTTTTGTCCATGTCTCGTTCTGTCTTGTCTTGTGCTTAGTGTCCCTTTGAGGAGCGTCTGGTAGCCACTCCTTAAGGTGGGGGTTCTGCCATCATGCTCTTGATTTTCCTGGTCTTGTGGCAGGATCATAGCAGAACCATGTTTTGTGTACAAGCGCATGGCCTGTTGTTTGGGCCATGTGCTTGTGTTGTCTCGTTACGTAACCCCGCCCCCTTGTTATCCTCGTCTTGTCATTATTGTCTAGTCAGTTTCACCTGTTCGTGTCATTAGTGTCTCCCTATATTATCCCCTTGTGTTTGCTGTCCTTGGTCGGTTCATTGTCAAAACTGTCAAGATCTTTGTCAAACTTTCTGTGAATCTTGTCTATCGTATCAAGCTGTGAGTACCTGTTGACCGTCTTGTTTTGTAAAGGTGTTTTATTAGTTTAACCTGTCTTGTTTTGCCCCATCGTGGGTTTTGTTTTCTGTTTTGTCATCAATAAACCCCGTTTTTATGTTATTTGCTGTCTGCGCTTGGGTTTGTTCCTCCAACCACATGACACTATTAGACGTACTTTTGTCACATACTGTGTTTCGCCTACTATATAGTAGGGAAGTATGCGATTTCGATGCAGACACTGTCATTGCATGATTTGATCACCTGATTTGTTCAAAAATTCCTATTCCTTCATGAATGAAACCGTATGAATGAGTCGTTGAATCATTCATTAAACAGTTTGTTGAAAATGAATCATTCAGGAACGAATGTTGCTCGGTGTTACAACGGCTCTACTGTGGCTTCGTTTGCAACGATTTTTGTTGGCAGAACATCTTGCTGAACTGTAATATGTATTATGTATATTATGTATGTATGAAGATAATAAGTACCGGGACTTATAATCTTCGTTCCCAGGATCTTTTCCTGCTATCTGTCCCAAAGGTCAGAACTGAGCTAGGAAAAAAGGCTTTTAAGTTTGCAGCTCCCTCGGCTTGGAACAATTTACAGAAATCCATGAAACTTACTGAGCTCGTCTCATTGGTTGCTTTTAAGAGGTTGTTGATTGACATGGAGGCAGCCACATCTGGCTGCAGATGTTTTATCTAATGTTTTTTAGGATTGTGGTTGACTTTGAAAGATTTGCTGTGACAGTTGTTTTATGTTTCTAGTGTTTTTGCATATTTTATGTTTGTATGTACTGTATATGTGGTATAGTACTGCTGCCTGTCTTGGCCAGGACACTCTTGAAAAATAGATTTTTAATCTCAGTGAGTCTCTTCCTGGTTAAATAAAGGTATAATAATAATAATGTATGAATTTTATTATCTTTCCATGACTCTTCTGATGGTGTTCTGCAGCCCTGACCTTGGTGGTGCTGAGTCCGCCTGTGCTGACGAATCCAGACCCAAACATCTTCTCGTAACGCAGTATTCCTCTTCTGGTGTACTGCTGGTTATCCAGGAACTGCTGGAATGTGGAAAAGCCGCCCTGATGCTGATCTACCGTATCGCGACAGGCTTTCAGCATGAGCCAGCACAACTGGTTCTGGTTCTTCTTCATCTGTAACAAAAACAAGTTAGTTTCATTTCAGTTTTTTTTTTATACAGATTACAGTTGACTGACTGGTTTACCTTCACATAGGTCTGAACTGTTTTACTGAGCACCATGTCAAAGCCGTAGCATTTCTTCTCCGTCTTCTCTGATTCGTCCAGCAGAACTGATGTCATCAGATGGTTATAGTGAGCAGGAGTTCTGTAGTGCGTGGGGTTAAAATCTCGCTTGCTGTCACCTGTAAAGGGCAAGACAAACATGTACACCTGTAGAAATACTCAAACTTACCAATAATGAAAGCAATAAAGCGTGATTAATAAATCGAATATGTTCATCCTCATAATCTTTTATCAAAAAGCAAAACTTGTTCTGTCTCTGAAATTACTTTTCTTTTTCGACTGACATCATAAAGCCCTTTTACTTTTTTTTTAAACCATCTATCACAGAGACACTTTCACCATACAACCAGTTCCCGATTGATAAAATCATGTCCTGGCCTATTTTTACCCCTGTTTCAGTCTCCGATAATGATAATATAGTGTTTATATCAATGGTTATATATAAATACTATGGTTTATTTGCGTAACTATAGGTTTCAGGAATATAGTTGATTTTTTTTTATCACATTATAATAGAGAATAAGATAACAATATCATTTGAGAAAAATAAGAAATTTCACATCATTGCCATATAGTGTCAAACTTACAGGACATTGTTTCTCTAACCTGATTGGTGGAAGCAGGACTCTCTGAAGAACAGGTAGCCGCCTGGGCGGAGCCACCTGAGAAACTTCTCAACCAATGACTTCAGCTCCTGATCACTCAGATACATCAACAGCCAATTAGAGAACACCAGGTCAAAACTGAAACAGAAAGTGTGTGTGTGTGTGTGAGAGAGAGAGAGAGAGAGAGAGATCAGTGTGTTACAGACACACCCGCTTCACAACTTATCTTTTCTTCAAATCTACTTTTCAGTCCAAAACATATACGCGAATGCACACGCACACACACTATCTCTCACACACACACGAGATGAGAGATGAAGTGATGGATGGATGAATGAAGACATCAGATGAGAATCGATGGGATGTTTTTCTGTAGCTCATCTTTTAGACCCCATGAAATAAAACGTGGAATTGACAGTATAATGTATAGTATAGTACAGTATAATGCGTGTCATTTAGCTCATCTATGTTTAGCGTACAGCTCATATATACACATTTACAATTTACTGTTTTTCTCTTTCAGGAAAATGGACTAAAAATAACTGATGACTCCTCAGGGGCATATTTAAATGTTTGTCCAATCAATGCTTTTTAGAATGAGAATGTCCTTTAACTGCCCCTATTATGGTATTTTAAAGGTTCCTAATGTTGTTTCAGAGTCTCCCACAACAGGTTTACATGCATCCAAGGTCAAAAACACTTTCATTTTCTCTTAATATACATTGCAGCGTCACCTCATTTCTCGGAGATTGAAAACAGTTTGTTCGAAGATTCAGGCCCTGTCCCAAATGGCACACTCCGGACTTGTGGACTTCCTCAGAGTCCACACTTCGGTGACGTCATGTAGTGCAGACCTATAGGGCCCTTAGCGCGAGTCCGCGAGGGCGCATTGAGAGGTATTTTTGGGACAGACTCGATCGTCACGCCGGATTTTCTTCTCAGCCATGTTAACAATGCCTGTGAGCGAAATCTCGTCCCATCCGTTGTCTGATTGGCCTTTCGCAAGGATTCCTGGGTAGTTAAAGTGCGTGGAGCCTGCATCTATGCGGGCTTCGCGGAAGACCGCTTCAAGGGTACAAAGGGGGCGCTGCTGAGTACACTTCAGAGCGTTAAAATGCTAAATGGGACGGCCTACGGACTCGTAGACTCGGCGAGCACGCGCAATTTAAGTCCACGAGACCGAAAGTCCGCTTGAAGTGCGCCATTTGGGACAGGGCCTCAGTCTCTCTAAACAACTCCTTTCCACAATCCTGCTCTGATCTGATTGGTCAGATGGCCCAGTCTGTTGTGATTGGTCTACTCTGATCTGATTGGTTAATGGCCCAGTCTGTTGTGATTGGTCTACTCTGATCTGATTGGTCAGATGACCCAGTCTGTTGTGATTGGTCTACTCTGATCTGATTGGTCAGATGGCTCAGTCTGTTGTGATTGGTCTACTCTGATCTGATTGGTCAGATGGCTCAGTCTGTTGTGATTGGTCTACTCTGATCTGATTGGTCAGATGGCTCAGTCTGATGTGATTGGTCTACTCTGATCTGATTGGTCAGATGGCTCAGTCTGTTGTGATTGGTCTACTCTGATCTGATTGGTCAATGGTCCAGTCTGATGTGATTGGTCTACTCTGATCTGATTGGTCAGATGGCCCAGTCTGATGTGATTGGTCTACTCTGATCTGATTGGTCAGATGGCCCAGTCTGATGTGATTGGTCTACTCTGATCTGATTGGTCAGATGGCCCAGTCTGATGTGATTGGTCTACTCTGATCTGATTGGTCAGATGGCCCAGTCTGATGTGATTGGTCTACTCTGATCTGATTGGTCAGATGGCCCAGTCTGATGTGATTGGTCTACTCTGATCTGATTGGTCAAATGGCCCAGTCTGATGTGATTGGTCTACTCTGATCTGATTGGTCAGATGGCCCAGTCTGATGTGATTGGTCTACTCTGATCTGATTGGTCAAATGGCCCAGTCTGATGTGATTGGTCAACTCTGATCTGATTGGTCAAATGGCCCAGTCTGATGTGATTGGTCTACTCTGATCTGATTGGTCAGATGGCTCAGTCTGATGTGATTGGTCTACTCTGATCTGATTGGTCAGATGGCCCAGTCTGATGTGATTGGTCTACTCTGATCTGATTGGTCAGATGGTCCAGTCTGCTGTGATTGGTCTACTCTGATCTGATTGGTCAAATGGCCCAGTCTGATGTGATTGGTCTACTCTGATCTGATTGGTCAGATGGCCCAGTTTGATGTGATTGGTCTACTCTGATCTGATTGGTCAAATGGTCCAGTTTGATGTGATTGGTCTACTCTGCTCTGATTGGTCAGATGGCCCAGTCTGATGTGATTGGTCTACTCTGATCTGATTGGTCAAATGGCCCAGTCTGATGTGATTGGTATACTCTGATCTGATTGGTCAAATGGCCCAGTATGTTGTGATTGGTCTACTCTGATCTGATTGGTCAAATGGTCCAGTTTGATGTGATTGGTCTACTCTGATCTGATTGGTCAAATGGCCCAGTCTGATGTGATTGGTCTACTCTGATCTGATTGGTCAAATGGCCCAGTCTGTTGTGATTGGTATACTCTGATCTGATTGGTCAAATGGCCCAGTCTGATGTGATTGGTCTACTCTGATCTGATTGGTCAAATGGCCCAGTCTGATGTGATTGGTCTACTCTGATCTGATTGGTCAAATGGCCCAGTCTGTTGTGATTGGTCTACTCTGATCTGATTGGTTAATGGTCCAGTCTGATGTGATTGGTCTACTCTGATCTGATTGGTCAGATGGTCCAGTCTGTTGTGATTGGTCTACTCTGATCTGATTGGTCAATGGTCCAGTCTGATGTGATTGGTCTACTCTGATCTGATTGGTCAGATGGTCCAGTCTGATGTGATTGGTCTACTCTGATCTGATTGGTCAATGGTCCAGTCTGATGTGATTGGTCTACTCTGATCTGATTGGTCAGATGGCCCAGTCTGATGTGATTGGTCTACTCTGATCTGATTGGTCAGATGGCCCAGTCTGATGTGATTGGTCTACTCTGATCTGATTGGTCAGATGGCCCAGTCTGATGTGATTGGTCTACTCTGATCTGATTGGTCAGATGGCCCAGTCTGATGTGATTGGTCTACTCTGATCTGATTGGTCAGATGGCCCAGTCTGATGTAATTGGTCTACTCTGATCTGATTGGTCAAATGGCCCAGTCTGTTGTGATTGGTCTACTCTGATCTGATTGGTCAGATCGCTCAGTCTGTTGTGATTGGTCTACTCTGATCTGAGTGGTCAAATGGCCCAGTCTGATGTGATTGGTCTACTCTGATCTGATTGGTCAAATGGCCCAGTCTGATGTGATTGGTCTACTCTGATCTGATTGGTCAGATGGCCCAGTCTGATGTGATTGGTCTACTCTGATCTGATTGGTCAGATGGCCCAGTCTGATGTGATTGGTCTACTCTGATCTGATTGGTCAGATGGCCCAGTCTGATGTGATTGGTCTACTCTGATCTGATTGGTCAGATGGCCCAGTCTGATGTGATTGGTCTACTCTGATCTGATTGGTCAGATGGCCCAGTCTGATGTGATTGGTCTACTCTGATCTGATTGGTCAAATGGCCCAGTCTGATGTGATTGGTCTACTCTGATCTGATTGGTCAGATGGCCCAGTCTGATGTGATTGGTCTACTCTGATCTGATTGGTCAAATGGCCCAGTCTGATGTGATTGGTCTACTCTGATCTGATTGGTCAAATGGCCCAGTCTGATGTGATTGGTCTACTCTGATCTGATTGGTCAGATGGCTCAGTCTGATGTGATTGGTCTACTCTGATCTGATTGGTCAGATGGCCCAGTCTGATGTGATTGGTCTACTCTGATCTGATTGGTCAGATGGTCCAGTCTGCTGTGATTGGTCTACTCTGATCTGATTGGTCAAATGGCCCAGTCTGATGTGATTGGTCTACTCTGATCTGATTGGTCAGATGGCCCAGTCTGCTGTGATTGGTCTACTCTGATCTGATTGGTCAAATGGTCCAGTTTGATGTGATTGGTCTACTCTGCTCTGATTGGTCAGATGGCCCAGTCTGATGTGATTGGTCTACTCTGATCTGATTGGTCAAATGGCCCAGTCTGATGTGATTGGTATACTCTGATCTGATTGGTCAAATGGCCCAGTCTGTTGTGATTGGTCTACTCTGATCTGATTGGTCAAATGGTCCAGTTTGATGTGATTGGTCTACTCTGATCTGATTGGTCAAATGGCCCAGTCTGATGTGATTGGTCTACTCTGATCTGATTGGTCAAATGAACCAGTCTGTTGTGATTGGTATACTCTGATCTGATTGGTCAAATGGCCCAGTCTGATGTGATTGGTCTACTCTGATCTGATTGGTCAAATGGCCCAGTCTGATGTGATTGGTCTACTCTGATCTGATTGGTCAAATGGCCCAGTCTGTTGTGATTGGTCTACTCTGATCTGATTGGTTAATGGTCCAGTCTGATGTGATTGGTCTACTCTGATCTGATTGGTCAGATGGTCCAGTCTGTTGTGATTGGTCTACTCTGATCTGATTGGTCAATGGTCCAGTCTGATGTGATTGGTCTACTCTGATCTGATTGGTCAGATGGTCCAGTCTGATGTGATTGGTCTACTCTGATCTGATTGGTCAATGGTCCAGTCTGATGTGATTGGTCTACTCTGATCTGATTGGTCAGATGGCCCAGTCTGATGTGATTGGTCTACTCTGATCTGATTGGTCAGATGGCCCAGTCTGATGTGATTGGTCTACTCTGATCTGATTGGTCAGGTGGCCCAGTCTGATGTGATTGGTCTACTCTGATCTGATTGGTCAGATGGCTCAGTCTGATGTGATTGGTCTACTCTGATCTGATTGGTCAGATGGCCCAGTCTGATGTGATTGGTCTACTCTGATCTGATTGGTCAGATGGCCCAGTCTGATGTGATTGGTCTACCCTGATCTGATTGGTCAGATGGCCCAGTCTGATGTGATTGGTCTACTCTGATCTGATTGGTCAGATGGCCCAGTCTGATGTGATTGGTCTACTCTGATCTGATTGGTCAGATGGCCCAGTCTGATGTGATTGGTCTACTCTGATCTGATTGGTCAAATGGCCCAGT